GTGTGCATGCTGGAGGTGGTGGTGGGGCAGATCAAAAGGCTGTGCGACTTGCCATCTGACGAGAGCAAGCAGTCAGCCATACTGAAAGCTGGAAATGGACCAGCCATTAACGCTCCTGCCATTAGATGTTGCTTAGAGTACCTGGGGAGAAAATTTCAGCCTAGCACTTCCACAAAGTGAGCGATGCCTTTGTCTGGCTACCTCTGTGCCCAGATGACCCTCTTGGGTTTGTTTGTAGAGGGTTTCTAGATGTCTGCCCGGGAAGTGCTTGGCCCTCGAGGGTATAACAGAAATGAAGGGTTTTCATTTGAGCCGTACGCCTCTCCTCCTTGCTGGTAAATTGCTGGTGATGCACTTTCTTATGGCTTTTAAGCCTTTGGGATAAAACGGGAAACAATCAGAGGTCAAGTGAAAAGGAAAGAGTTTTGCTGAAGAAGTAGAGAATGAGGCCGAGATGTAGGTCAGATGCACACAGCACAGGACTTTAAAGGCTATTTTCTACAGCTAAATTGTACTTAGAGACTTTTTGAAGTTCACATCTGGTGAGCAGATTTAAGGTATGAGCCTTCAGTGTTTGCATAGTAGTTTCTTTGCTTGCTCTCTAAACACATGACCCGGAGACCTCCCTTTTGGTGAAAATGTTTGAGAATCTTGCTGAGCTTCTTCTACTTGCACATTGCAGAAGTGCCTGTGGAGGCTCCAGAAATGCAGAGGCAAATTGAGGCTTCCTATTTTCGGATTACCAACCACCTGTCACACTGTTCTGCAAGTCCAGCCCTGGGCAAGGGACCAAAGAGCCTCTGGAAGCATCCTCGGGAGACCTTTGGGATGCTGGATGACAGAGCATCATCCTAGTGTGACCCAGCCACCTGGGAGGCCTGTGGGGCTGCCTGCTGGCAGCCCGGTGATAGAGGCAGAGGGATTTGGCTGAAGTCTTTGGGACTAGAGGAGTGGTGGGAGATGATATGCGTGGGTTATGCCTGATTCTTCCTTCACTCTTGTGTTGCTCTTGTGTTTGATCTCGCTGGAGTTGCTCCAGACTTGCGTCAGAGTCGGCCCCAGCTCTCCTTTCCTCCGACAGAAATCTGGAAGAACTCTGTTGAAGGCAGCAGAGCAGCAGAAAAATATTTATAGACAGGAAGGGAATCTGGTCTCCCCCCACCCTTTGGCAGAATAACTATCAGTTTCCTTAAGATACATGCTTGGCAGCAGTGAAACGTAATTCATCCCAGTGAGTGAGTATACTTCTCCTCAGCATTCATCAGATGTAAAATGTCATGGATTTGTCATATAATTCAATTTATTCCATTTGGATATATGTTAGGAATGAAGTCAGCTGAGGAGATGACAAAAGGAGTATTGATGCTATGGTCCCCACGCATATTTCGATGGGAGGAATGAAATGCCAGTCAGCCGGCAGTGCACACTGCTGTCCAGCCTGCTCAGCGCCTGCCATGCCCACCCCTCCCCAATACCTGGGACTAGCAAATTGGGCCAAGTGATGCCATCTGGACACCCCAAGAAGTTGGGAAGTATGCAGGCTCTCTCCAGGCAGCCCAGGGAGAGCTGCAGGGAAGCCCCTCACCATCCTAGGCAAGCATCCCTACTCATAGCCTGCAAACGCTAGTTTAAACTAGTGTTAAAAAGAATCAGTAAATTATCTCATTGGTTTATTGGGTGTTTTTTGGAAACTGTCACGTTCTTCCTATAAACTGTAGCTGTAGGTTCACATTTTATTCTGCCTTGCATTTAAGACAAGACAGGCTATGACTTGATGGTGGTTCTGTCACCACTTGTAACATTTGAGGAAAAACCCTGCACCGTTTCTTCACTTTTAATAGGAGTATTATTCACCTTGAAGCAATGGCAATAATCACTCCTTTTGAAATAGATGAGAACTGAAGTGACTTTATGGGAAGAATGAGAGCAGTGAAAATACTGTTTTATAAGTAACAAGGATCTGTTTTGCAAAGGGGGATGCTGTTGCCCTCATGCATAGAAATTCTTGGCCAGATCTGCAGTGCCATCCTGCCTGTGGGGAGCTGGGTGCGGTGTCTTCCATCAGCTGAGATCTGTGTGGCGCCAGAGGCAATTTTATCTTTTGGCTGCTAGGACTGGGAAGGAGGCTTATTCCCCACTCCTCCTCTTGCTTGCCTCAGCCTCAGTGAGTGTGTGGAGCACCAGCTGTTTCACAGGACAGCAGTAAGGTTGCTGTGGGTGCTGGGGATTGCAGTCTGGACCTCAGTGAGCTTCCTGACTGTGGGGCTAATCCAAAGCAGGTGTGAAGGCAGGAGATGAGGGCTGTTCCCTTGCGTTGGTTACACTTGGCAGGGGTGGCTTTGTGGGACCCTGCCCAGGGCAGTTCTGGTGTTCCTGTGAAGAGCCCTCCCCAGGGCTGGCTGGTGCCCTGAAGTGCCTGTGGCAAACAATAGTTATTCCCTGTGAAATGCTCCTTGAATGTCTTTTCCAAGCACGCTGTGGTTGGCCAAACAGTGCGCGTGTTACTTCTCCAAGGGGGGTAGTCTGGCAGCAGGGGCAGGGCGGGCAGCCCAGGCTCAGTCCTGGAGGTGTCCCTGCTCTGCCTTGCTGTGGATCAGCAAATAAGAGGACAACCATGGGTTAACACAGACATGGTGGAGGGTGCGCTAGGCAAGGATCAACCCGTGTGCAGCCTTTTGCTATGGAAAACTCCAAGGAAGTTATTGGCTTTCCTGACACACATGAGCGGGAAAATAAGTTGTGAAAGATGGGGACCCACGCTGGGTGAGGCATGGGACAGCCTTGATAGGCTGGTGGCTGCCAGCTACAAGGGAGAGGATGAACCAAGCATATATATCTGTTTATTTGTGTTTGTAATGCAATTCTGTGTTTGGCTTAAACTTGTGTTTTCATATAAATAGCTTTAGTGGGCTTTGCATGAAGGCAGAATCCCCTTAATCATCACTATCTCCTCCGTGCCTGCTTGCTGCTCAACTCTTCTGTTTTTTGGAGTCACTGCTCTGTGGAGCTGGGGCTTGAAGATGGGAGTGGGCTGAAAAGGTACACAGTAGGTCCCCCAGTGTGCATTGAATTTCCTAAGGCAAAATACGGGCTGCTCTCTGGGACAAACCACTGTTTGGTGGGAATTGGTGTAGCTGCATTAATTCCAGTGCATCATTACCTCTGGGGATCTGTGTGATGGTCACACAGCACATTTAATTAGTGTAGCTGTAGCATTGTAACAGTTAATTACTAGTTTATGAACCCCTTGTATTGCCCCAGCTCCTGGCATAGACCCATCATGTTTCTGTCCCTGGAGTGGGGTTATCCTGGTGTTGGGGACCTGCTGGGCAGCACTGAGGGAATGTGGTTGGGGTCAGCTTCTGTAGCAGGAGAAGCTTCCGTGCCTGAGGAGCTGCTCAGTATCTGGAAGGAGGGTATGGTACTGAAGGTAAGAAAAGGGTGACAGGAAAGTTGTATGCTGTATGAGAACACCTAGCTGTGGGAGTGTTGCAATAGCAGTCTCTGCTGAGGGATGCCAGTGGAGCCCCATTTGGGGGAAAGTGATTTCAGTGCTGTGGCTCCTGCCAAGTGGATGCGGTCACTGCTGACAAAAGCAGCGGCAGTCTTTCCCCAGACAAGGGCACAACCTTCAGTCAGGGGTGCCTTTTCACATGCTGGTAAGTTAGTTGTGTGTGTGAGTTTCTGTTTGTTTATAATTTCTTCTTTTTCTAGTTAAAATATGTAGTGATTTTTATGCCTGCGAAAGTGGAAGACCATAAGCGTTGGCGCAGGTGACCTTGCATGACTGCAGTATGGAATCCAGGGCTAGCCAAGTCTCCCCAGTCCCTGCTCCCTCCCCATCCCTGCTTTTTCCTGCACAGTCCTTGGGAAGAGATTTTCATCTGTGTCAGAACCTGCAGGGATTTTGTGTTTGGGATGCATATCCTCCCTGGGATTAATTTAAGACTTGTTTTATTAGTGACCTAATCCGTATCTGAATCCATTTCCCTGGCCAATGCCTCCTAACTCAGTCGTGCTTTCTTCTCCTGGCAGCTCTGCAGTAGGAGACTGCTGGAGAACTGGTGCAACGGTTGGTGACCAATACCAATGGTGTGGACTTTCTCCTGCTCCCTGTCTGTCATCAGATGTGATGAATAGTTGAGGAAATACTATGGGAATAGGGATGAGAAACCTTGCTGCCTATGGTTTTACTGTGCAATGTCCACGAAATAAGAGGAGGCCTGTAGACACAGTGGTATGCTTTCTGTTGTAAGGTGTACCTCTTGGCTCTTTTCTTGGGGAGCATACAGTTTCTGAGCCATGCTATTGTGTGTATCACTGAAGGTAATACTTTCACAGTCCTTCCCAGGAAGGGAGAGTGCAGTTTGCCTGACAGAGCCTCGGTGGAGGAGGTTTATAAAGTACCTTTTAATTAAAGGTGAGGAAACCGAGATGTGGAGAGATTAAGGACCAGTTTTCTAAAGAAGCTCTGTGGCTAGTCGGGACTAGATTTTTCAAAAGAGCTCAGCTCCTATTGAAGTAGTAAATGAACAACTGGATTTTCAAAGCATCTGATCATGTTGGATGCTGAGCTCTTCTAAGCTCGGCTGTAATTGTCAGTGGGAACCGCCCACCCCAGGCAAAGGGAGGGTGTTCCTCTCCCACTGTAGTCAGTAGTGGAGTTGTTTACATCTGAGCCTAGCCCCTTGCACCGTGGGGAGAAACAGGTGCTCGGGGCTGTGAGAGGTTTGACTGTGTTAGTTTTGCACAGGGGAGGTGGATATTGGATGCGCTCATTCTGCTGTTTGTCACAAAGGACCATGACCTCAGAGGGACATGTCTATGTGCAAGGTGAACCCCCATTGTTTCTGTTGTGCTCTGTCAGCTTCAACATCATTTACGGAGAAGTTCAACATCAACATGCTTCCTGAGCGAGAGGGTCGTGTGGGTAGTTGTAAGCAGATGCTTAAACCAATCATCTATGAAAGAAGATACTAAAATTATTCAAGATGCTGTAATGTAGTTTGGTGCCTTTCTTGAATTGCCACTGGAAATGTTTTCTGCTTTCCCTGAAAGCTATTGAATTCTGTTAAAAATAAAAGGACATGAAAGAGCCTGCAACTGGTGTGCCAGATTATTGCTGTTAAGAATACTGAGTCTGAACATCAGAAAAAACTGAACTGTCGTGAAAGCTTTTCTTCTCCAGTAATTACCTAGTTTTGAATGGAGGTCCCAGTGGGGCAGGACTGCCCAAGGAAGGAAGGAGGAATGTAGTGTGTATTGTCCTTTTATATTCTAGGAAAAAATGTGTAGGAAATTAAAGAAAATATATTTTCCTGTGGAGATGCTTAAGCTCATGCTGTGTTTGCGTGAAAGGCTGCTGCAGGAAGCTCCATGTCAAAAGGGAATGATAAATAAGGGAAATTTTGCCACTGTGCTCAGAACTTGCATCCATGTCCTGCATTCGTTTCAGGGTGGTAGGGGGACATGGTGGTCCCTGCCTCTCCCTCATGTCCATCAGTCATTCAGAGCAGCTGTGTGGAGGCTGCTCTGCATCAGTGGTACCGCTCAGGTAGCTCCGTCGTGCCCCAGTGTGCTCCCCAGAAGTAGGAAGTGAAGTTCCTCCATCTTAATTCTTATGGCCCTTTCCCGGGGCTGTGCCACACACTCCGCCAGCTGCAGCCATCCTCGCTTGATGTGGGTGTCTTCAGATGGCTTCCATCAGCTCCACTAACGAGCAGTGTGGCTTTGTTGTTAAAAAGCACATGAAAGATGCCCATGGAAGTTGCCAATTTCCCTCCCTGGCCTTTCTTAAAATCATAAAATGAAATCTTGGGGTTGCCTGTTTTGGCACAGATGCCAGCAGTAGTTCTGCTGTGTAGCTTAGTGCAGGCACACACGCACTCAGCACTTTGAGAATGTTTTCCCTTTTTTGCTATTTTCATTTTCCCCCCCTTTTTTTCTCTGCAGTTTTTTTTATTTGTTTGTATTCTTTTCTGTGCATGCATTCTAAATAACAAGAAATTGAGGGAGGAAGCCTGCATTACTCTCGTACTTTCCATCCCAAGGGACATGCTGTGCTGCATTTCCCATCCATGGAGCAGAGCCTGTGGCCTGCAGCTCTGTAGCATGCCAGTCATCACCAGCCCAAGTGCAGCAAAACTTCTCCTGCCCTGAAAGTTAGTTGCCTTGTGTGGAAGTGAGCAGGACTGTCTCCACTGGCAGCTCACCCTCTGAGAGGGACATGGCACAGTGCTCTGTGCACACATCATTTATGGGGCAAACTGAAAAACAGAGCTGCCTTGGTTCATCCAGGTAGCAGTCTGTGCCACCTTGTGCAGTTGGGTGTTGCAGTGCTGAGAATGGCATTATTGCCCCTCTATTTTCAAACAAGAAGGAAAAGTGTATGCTACTTGTGGAAGGATACTTTTGGGGGGGGTTGACAGGGCGGTAGCAGAGGGGGTTTGAGTGAAGCAGTGTTTGGATGAGCTGAGCTCCTCTGGTGGAAAGCATGACCATCGTGCGCTGCTGGAGAGCTGTGTGTTCAGCCGTCCAAGGCCAGCCCGAGGCCAGGGAAGCTGAGGTAACCCACCGCATTGCTTGCCATATGTTTCCAATCACTATTTTTCTGGCCGCCTCCAAGAATTAGCTGGTCTGACCTCACTGCAGTGCGAGGGCTGCAAGGAACAACGCCGCCTTCACTGTGCAACGGCGTCCAGCCAGGGGGGCCAGGGCTAGGGGCAAGCACAGCATGGCATGCCAGCTCCCTGCCCCAGAGAGGGGGGGACCTTTTTCCCCCTGTATTCCATGATGCACAAGAAAACCTCTCTGAAGAACATATTATTTTTATATAATTTCTGTTTTACTACCTGGTGGAGATGTATCTCCCCAGGGCCGTACAGCCTGGAGCATTGCTGTTTTGAGAGGTACAAGTACCATAGATTGCTGCTGGTTTGCTCCTGAACATGCATAACCCACTCTTCTGGGTAAGTGACAGAACAAGCTAGATGGTGATCTCAGCCAACCCTTCAAAGAGTGGAGGGCCAAGGAAAAGAGGAAATTTTCTAACCGGAAGTTAATGGCAAGTTATTGCAGACCTGTCAGAAGCAAGATCAGGAAGGAGAGCCTTTTTCATGCATTTTGTTTTCCTCTCTCAACCTTATCGATACCAACCTTTTATTTTATGCAGGTTCACAACCAGCAGGAGCCCAGCACAAAGGTGGAAGGGATCTGAACCCCTGAAATAAAGCTGTGTTAAAGAAAATAGCAATATGACAATATTTGCCTTTGTATTTAGACTGACTTGCACAGTCACTTGAGCAGGTTCAGCACCGCAGTACTGTTTTCATTAGTCTGGATTTGGAGCTGGGGGAGTCAGAGGACCTGTGTCAGTCCATGTGGGGTGAGAGATATCAGCCCACCCTAGAGCTGTCTACCTGAACCGCTGTGGCCAAGAGGCTAGTGGAGCATGCTGTGTAGCAGTGGAGTGTTAATGGGACGAAGCTTGTAGCCGGGAGCAGAGGATGTGTTTGTGTGCAGCAGTATGTGGCCTTTCTGAAAGTGGGTGGAAGCCCCGCTGCCCAGCCCCATGGCTATTCCTGCAGCACATGGCCAGGGCTTCTGCCACCCTGGCTGTGCTGTTACACATTGCTAATTAACTTCTGCTTGAAGTGCCTGTAGCCAGAGTGGTATGTCTGGAAGAGACTTGGTGTCAGTGGGAAAGGGTGAAAATCCCTTCACTACTGCCTACTCTTGCCTTTGTGTGAGGAAGGGAGTCAGTGATTTGGTGCTCATCAGGAGCGTCAGGTTCAATGTCACTGGCGAAGGCTCATCTCCCACCAGCTCACCCCCTGCATAGGGTTGTGGGTGCTGCTGCTGCAGGAGAGCTGCTCTGGAATGGTATCATACCAGATGCATTAGCGCGGGCCAAACCAGTCTGACTGGCTGTGATGCGTAAAGGCAGATCCTACTCTTGCTCTGTCTCCTTTACTCTAATTTAGACTGGTCCATCCAGTCTACAGTGCAGAACCAGTAGCCAGCACCTTTCCAGGCACCCTCTAAATGAAGTAGGTGGCCACTGCAGCCTTGTTAACCTCTACTCTGGCTGCCACAGCGTGCGTTGTCTCTGCAGCATCTCTAGATCCCGTGTGCCTGATCTTGCCTTCCTCCATAGTGCTATGACCTGAAGGGGAGCCCTTTGCAGCTCTGTGCTTTTTAGCATGAAACATTTACTTGTTCTCCTTGGCTAGATACTGTGCACAATCCTTGCCTGCATGATAGCTGCAGTTACGGAAAGGGTTCTTGGTCTGAACTCATGACCCAAAGCTCTTGTGGGTGTAGGATGGGCTTGTGTGAATTGGAGCGCATAGCAGCAGCAGCGTCCAGCTTCCTGCTCTTCAGTGGTTATTTGTCTTTGCTTTCTATACAGTCACTGGCAGAACACTCATTTTCAGGTTTTAAATTGGAGGAGGATTTCTGAAGGTAATGTGTGTTTTGAAGGCAGAGCTGATGCGTCCAAGAGTGAAGTGATGCCTGGAGTATTGAAGCACTGGGAGTTTTCCATAGATAATAAAAGAGAAGTTATCACAAAAATAGCTGTTATTAAAAACAGTCACAAAACAAACTGTCGGGAGATTTTTTTTGTATCTGATAAGGAAAATAAGAAGATAAAATGTTAAATCTAGGCAGTGAAACTTTAAGCTAAGAGGGATTTTTGCTGTTTCCTTCTCAGTGGCCAGGATTTCAGTTCTCTGCTCAGACTTGTTAGAAATCTCCGGGCTTGGTTATAATTTGAGGGCCACTTCCCATCTTGTGTAAGACCAGTCATAACTTTGTGGAGCAGTCCTTGAGCCTGTGTGAGCTGTTCGGCATCTTGCAGGAAGCGGTCCTGTTGGGTGATGAGCCTGACTGGCAATCCCACGCAGGGAAAGTTCCCAGTGACATCAAAAGGAAGTATATGGGGAGCAGGGAACACAGGATCAAACCCAAGAGATTATAATTGTTTATGTAAATCCATTCTGATGATCCACTGAAACACCTAGAAGCAACAAGCTGGCTAAATACTCTTTTTGCATATTGCATGTGTTTATTTTGTTGGTGGCTCACCAGCCTGGAAGGAGGGCTGTGTTTCAAATTAAAAGAGCCTACCCTCCCCTCACCTTTTGTTGTCTTAGATGGCAGTTTAATTGGGTCGGGAACTATATTTTTGTCTTAGCTGGGGCAGCAGTGAGCTCAAGCAGCAGCAGCAGCCGTAACAAAATGGCAGATTAATTCCTGGTGAATTTGCATCACATTGCATTGGTTGTGCCCTGGCAGTTTGGTTCTTGCAGAGCACAAATGACATGTACAGATGAGTAAAGCTGCTCAGCTGCAAGTTGCTTTGAAACTTTTTAAGCCTTGAGCTTCCAGGAGCACGAGCATCACCTGTTCTGCTTTTGGGGTTATGCCCCTCTTGTAGTGGATGCACACGGAGAGTTTTGAGCTCTCAAGATGAAAAGTGCTCTTGTGAGTGCCATGTGCTGTGAGTCACTGTCAGGGCAGCACGGCACCTGGAACAGGATTTGGTGGAGCCAAGGTAGCACGGAAGAGTAAACAGCTTCTTGCTGAGAGCTTCGTCTTGAGTCACGAGTTAAGAGATTCTGCAGTGCTCTGTGCTGGGAGAGGCATGACAGAACAGCTTGGCATCAGGCCTGTTTCCTGATCCAGCGGGCAGAAAGTAATGGTGGGGTGAGCAGTGCCGGCTACTCCATGTCTTGAAATAGCAGCAAGACTGCGGCAAGATTTCAGGGTTACATTTATAACGGATCTAACCAGTGCAGCCTACTTGGATGTCTTCAGGTGCTGCTATAAAGACCCTACCTACCTGCTGAAGAGAGTTCACAGGCGCAGCCAAGGGGTGGGCAGAGCTCAGTAGTCCTATGCCATATTCTTATAATTACAGGAACAGGTTTACTTAGAAAAGCTTCTGTTACCTTTTTTTTTTCCTAGTTGTGCTCCCTTTCATTTCCACAGTAGTTTTTTAAGCACAGAGTTGTGTGTTTGCTGCATGAATAGCAAAATAGAATGATGCCAAAAGCTTAATTTAAAGTTGTTATTCTGATTTCTGTCCAAAATGTAATTGTTTACTTTACCATTGCAATATGTACACATGGCACCAGCGGCTGGCTGAAATGATTTTTGGGCCAGATTCATCGAAAGTGGTGTAATTTCAAAATAGTCCCTTCAGCTGGATTCTCGATGGACAAAGGCCGTGAACCCATGGCTGTGGAGGGTATGGCTGGTGTGTGTTGTGTGTAGAGACAAAATCTGTGTTAGTATATGGGAAACCAGCAAAATATTTTGTTCACACTTTAAATGGGTTTGTCAGTGTTCTGCTGATACTTCGTTGGAAACTAGAACAAAATAAGAATCCTGTAGGCAGACACAAAATCCCCGCCCTCTGTCTTCTCTTTGACCCAAATCCCTGGATCGAATGGGTTTGTTTTTTGGGCTGCCAGAGAAGGTCGGGAAGTGTAGAGGATTTATCTGATGGAGCAACTGGGATGCAGCATGTGTACTCTGTGTTCTCCACACGGCATACAGGAATCAACAGCATGAAAATTGAAATACTTTCCTTGCATTTCTCTTGAAGAGGAGAGAAACAAGTAATGGAGGTTTGTTGTGATGGGAGTGAGAAAA